TTTTTTTTTTTTTTTGTTTCTTTTCCTTTCAACTCTATTCCCCGTGTTTCACGATTTTTGAAGAGCGAATTTCCTCTTTTTCTTTTTCTTTTTTTCTTAATTTCCGTAGGATAACTGTTAAGCGAACAGTGTGTGTGGAACGTACCTCGCGTAGAACTCGGACAGAGATGCTTACCGACGAAAATTTTTGTTCCGACGTGTTTTCATATAGATTGAAGAGAAGCGACTTCAAGGAAAATCGTCGACGAGTTGAACCGTGTTCACGATTGTCGCTACGAGTGCACCGACGATGGATTTAAGCGTAAATTACCAGAGGTAATAAACAAGAGAATTTTTGTGAAAAACGATAGATGCGAGAAAGAGATCGAATTAATCGTATACAAGTTCGTGTTCCCAGTGTATTATCTATACATGCATATAACTCATACAAACACACACATCGCGACAGCGCTAAAGATTTTAGTGAGTGTATTTGTAACTGTAAGTTATACCTTAGGTAACGATTAAAATATAATATAAATATATATATATATATAAATATATAATTATATATAAAATAAAGATAGATGTAAAGGAATGCCACTATACAAACATTGTATGGACAATAATAATATATAAGATCCTTAAATATATGGTTAAACGATTAGCAGTACGATCACTTTTCTTGTCGAAGAACTTTTGCTTCTGCGACGATTTTGCGAACATCATTTTTTTCTTCTCACACTATTTTAATATTACTTACTGCAAACAGGAAAAAAAATATACAAAACAATTTGCCGTATAAAATTCAATCTCCTCGTAGACGCGAGAACTTTTTTCTAACAACGTTTTATTCCACTTAAATCTCCTCGTATCGTATTGTTCATTTAACAAGCATAAATGTTATTAACTTAATTACTACATCATTATCGAATATACTATTACGTGTGCTATTGTTGAACACATTACTACGTATATATTACTTTTCCTTTGGAGTAATGTGTTCCGTTTTTTTCATTCCAAGAATTTCCGGTCAGCTGGCACAGTGTTTCGCATGAGATAACGTTTATGCTGTTCTTCGATGACCACAGCTCTCTCGATCCTCTCGGCCGCGATCCTCTCGATCTTGGCGAATAACTCCGTGTGCACGGCGATGCATTTCCGAAAATCTTTACGATCCAAACGATACACCTCGCACACCTCGATCGCGATCACGCTGGCGACTCTCCTCTGGTCGGGAACTAGAAGCGCTATCTCTCCGAAATGGGCTCCGTCATCCAGGTGACAGATCTACGAAACGATCGATGATAAAATCGCAGCATCTATTATTTCAAGCACTTATTATTTCCTTCGAATAATTAAATTTTTCGAACGCAAATGACTGACAATTACTGAGCAGAGTAGCTGGCGAAAGATGATTACGAAAGAAAATCAAACGATCATTTCGAATAACTAATCTCGATTAATTTCTTTCTAAATTCAATTGTTTAATTGCCACGTGATTTGCTCCAATTTAAGAAACTATAATCTCAACAACCATTGCACGCTCCCCGCAATCTGTTAAACATTAAATTCAAAATTTAGAACAAAGGATTGATAGCTCAATTTAATTGCCAATGGGGGATCTAGAATGTAGTGGGGAGCATGCCCTTTAAAATGCTTTTCGTTTCACGTCGATAGCTCGCGTGGTTCCGGCGATATGGCGATTTAAAGCGACCCGTGCGAATTGACAAAAATTTCATGAATGACCGCAATTCCCGGAAACAGCGTGACCCAGTTTTTAGCGTGCGTACGCGCGTAGTACGCTACCCCCACCACGTGTAACTAACCTGCGCAACCGCGCGTCGCGCATGCGTGCTTGCGTTCGAGAAAGAGAGAGAGAGAGGTCCGAGTGTGCGAGGAGGACAGCAACAACCGAACGGTCCAAATTATCACACGCTTTAAACTGGCATATCTCGGAAACGAAAAATCGCAGAACCATAAACCAAAAGGCATGTTAAAGTGGAGGATTCGAACTTTCTGTCTATGCTGAGTACGAGTAAAATCCGTACCGGGAAAGTACTTCTATTTAAGAAGGAATACGATGTATATAAAATGAGGCTTCGTCGATTTGATAACAAAATTGAAAGCAGGCGGATTTTTTCAATAGTTTCTTATTATCATACTGAAGCAGCAGAAGATTGGAAACGTAAATGAGAAGGAATTTTAAAGATGAGAGAAATATAAGTGTTTTTTTTTTATATATTTTCTTGTTAACGTGTGCATAATTGGTAGTTCATGTAGAAAAGAAAATTGATGAGTGAATTTTGATTTCACTAGATGTGACTCTTCAGAAGTTCAATTTTGATAACTAATGGAATTAACGGGCCGATTCGAGGTGTTAAGAATATTAGAAATACACTTTCGCGTAATTAGAGCAATACCTCTTTCCCAGTGGGTGTTAGAACAGCGACGGTTCCGGCAGACAGGAAGAACATACAATCGCCGTAGGTTCCAGCCTTCACGATCACGTCGTTCGGCAGATAAAGTTCGAACTTCAAATTCTTCACGATCGACCGCAAAACGGATTTGGGCAATTCCTTGAATATCGCTACGTTCTGAACCAAACGGTGGCTCGATTGAAAGGCAATCTCCTGACGTAGTTGCTCTAAATCGAAAACGATTTAACTCGCAGAACATTAAAAACGAACTGCTTAACAACGTCAAGCAAATTCGGAGATCAGATTACCTACCTGACAGATTGTACAGAATGTTCTTCTCGCGGAAGTAACTGTTTCTAAAGCGGTAATAGTAATAAGCCAGAAGACGAGTCTTCATGTGCGCCGGCAATTGCTTCTGGCACGTGTACGCGCTTAATTGATTGATTATTTCCTGGAATTTCAATTTCGACGCCTTCCTTCCCGCCTTTATTTGAATCAGCATCACTTGAAATTTAATCAATTTCATTGTTCGAGGATTTCGTGATTCTGAGCGTAGAGGACACGCGGCCGCGTAGACTTCTTTTTTTGTAGAAAAGTGATAAAAATCGTAAAGACCTGCGATGTAACACTCGAGCACTCTGCCAATGAGCATGAGGGCGCAGCTAAGTACGATATGGCCGTCGGTTTGTGGCACGTAGCCACCGTAACCACTAGCTGACAATTTCTCCACGACGATGAAGAGCGCGTATTGGAACCTGAAGGCTACGCTGTCACTGTCTAATCCTGTCATCCAACATTCGGGACACTCCTAACGTAACATTTACTGATTTAGTACAAATTTTTAACATATCATAATTTTTCGAAAATTTTCTGTTCGAATTTTCAATTCGTTCAAGGCTGTCTTGGATGAAATTTCACTGTTGCTGTAACATTGTTTATTCTGCTTTATGCTAAAAATTATTTTTCTATCATTCCTAACATATAATATATATCGTAACGTTGAATAATAATATTCCATTTTGTTAATTCTCAAACTTACGAAGGCGTGTCTCCGGTGAATTTTTATTATTTAAAGATAAACTGCAAAATTTTATTTAATTCAATCACTTACGTCGGGCGGAGAGTTACTGAAGTGCAAAACCAACACCGGAATCAAATAACACAGACACGAAGACCAATACATTATGTAAAATCCCATCATGAGGGTGGCGAACATTTCGTAATAGAAGTGCATAATTTCGAAATACTAAAATTGTTTGAGAAACAAAGTTATTTGCAACCTGCATCTAAATTTGTCTGAATATCTTTTGAATTTCGTTGGAGTTTAAAGAAAGAGAGTTACAGTGAAAAGCTCGGAAATTTGTTTATTGACGTAGCCATAACGCGACAGCTTCAAACAAGGGAGCAGATTGAGTAAAGCGACTATGTGGTTAGATTCTCTTCCGGGAACAGTTCGCCAAGGCAAAGTTATATGATCCCATGGCAATGACGAGACGACGTCCAATATGAGAAAGGTTTTAAGATAGTTTCTGTGGGGATAGAAATTTCTCTTAAATTAAAGCTTCGCAAGAAGCTTCCTTCCTGTTGTTTTTAAATTTTCAAT